CGATTAGCCATTACCATCAATCTTCATTCCAAAGTTGAGAGAAGAAGTATCTATCGTAATCGTGTCTGCTTCTCTTATGGTCGTCCTTCTGATGATTTTGTTCTCACTGATATTAATGATGCTATTCAAGTTGATGTGTTGAGATATGTTCCTGAAAGTAGTCATCCTGTTCCTTTTAGGACAGTTTGTCAGCAAATATTGAAGTTATTAGATGATTGTTGCCAAAAAGTAGAAGAAACTCTGATTCTTTACTATGGTCACCATACTGGTCGATCATCAAGAAGAATACAATACGTGTGTCAATGCAGACGTTTAAAGGAAGTCCATTACATTCAAGACATTGATGCTGAGAAGCAGACGTGCTCTGATCCTGTTTACTGCAAAAAGAAAAGACGCCCTCGCTCCCTAACTAATAATGAGTCACTGTGGTTTAAAGAAAAGACAAAACATATGCCACAAGAAAAACAGCTCCAATTAGAGGTATAAAATAATAAAAAATGACATTATTTTTATTCTATCTCTATAATCTAGACTTCACCTAGACTCCTAGACCTAAAAGAGGATAATGTCGATGATGTTGATGATGATGAAACTAGTAAGTGGCAGGCAGATTATACTATATGACATGCATATTATTCTTTATGTATAATATAGCACTATTAATTCAAAAGGTCAAATCAACTACTAATTACTCACCCACACAGATCAGTGAGTCCAATGATGATCAACAAGAAGATGTGATCATTCACTGTCACTAGTTTTACATTATTTATGTACTTATTGTTAATTTAGATATTATTCTTCAAAAGCTAACATTACTAACGTCAAATTTGGAACGTGGTATTAAGGTAATTTAACATCAGAAACACTCCTCATCATCATTATTTTACTATATTGTGTGTGTAGGGAGATGGAGGAGTAAAGTGTAATAATAATAAAGATAAAGGAACAACAACCAACACTTTGAATGAATCTCAGGAACATGGAAGTACTTCAATAGAGAAAGGACAGTCTGGTAAGATATGTACACATCATCCATTAACAAACATTATTATAATTATTGTACATTGAACTATACAAACATTATGTGTATGTATCAAGTATTATTGGTATTTAATATAATGTATAGATATTGATGTACTTAAGATCAATGATGAAGTACAAGAAACACTCACTGATAAACTGCTTGGTAAAACTAAGAGAGTATATAGTGTTATTATTATCATGCAGGTAATACAGATCTTGCTACAGTCCTTCAAGAATTAACATCAAATCAACAGTTTGATTATGCTAAAAACTGGAAACAGTTAGGCCTGTACTTAGGATTATACCAACCAACTTTGAGTGCAATTGAAGTAAACTGCAGAGGACAAGTACAGGATTGTCTAATGGAGTGTCTATCTTCCTGGCTAAAGAGAGAGGATGGAGTAAGAGAGACAAGAGGAGGTGGATCAAACTGGATATCATTAGTAGCAGCACTAGATGCAGTGGGAGAGAGGGAGGTTGCTAACAACATTAGAATAAAGTATAACCTATAAACTAGCAGTATAACATATCTGGAGGCACTCAATGAGCATCCATAACAATAAAGTTATCTTAATATATTTTTACCGGGTATATAGTTTTAATTAATTTATACAAAAATATTATTTTTTATTATTTAAAATAATAATGAGAGAAGGAGGTAATAATAATAACTGATAGAGAGATGATGATAGTTAAAGAATAGCACAAGGACTGATCCTTTTCATTTCTGTAATGCAATACTGGACAGGTTTATCAAGAACAAGCCTTTTGCTGCTTATTAACTTATTGCAGTGATAATATTTATATTTGCCAATGTGCACATAAAATGCTTAGCTATTTGCTAAACTGCTATTATTAAAATTGTTATTTAAGTTGTAAAAATTCTCTGAGAGAAATAAGCAGCTTTTCTTTGCTGTACTCTGTCTCCCAGTGACATCATTAGATTCATAAACTCCAAGAGATCAAAGGAATAGTTTGTGAATTTAGCATGAGGTGTACCCATTTGAGGATGAAGACCCTGTATAGGAAATAAAGGAAATATTAAAGGTACCGTAATTTGCCTTTTTTTCGTTGTGGAAATATTTTCGTATGGTCCTAAAATGACGAAAATATTTCAATCGAAAATTTTTGAGCAACCAAAATTTGTGACCTAATTCATCAAAGAAAGACTAAGGTACGGCCTGATAAGTAGGTATCTTCTTGCAGCTCTAACCTTGCTCTATCCACTGGTGCTTGCTGTACTTCAATCAGTTGCTTCACTACTGAGTTATAAAATAAAACGGTCCACCATGTGACAGAAGTAGCCATTTAATTTTTCCGTTTATTATCCGTAAATTGGTCATTGCTGCATCTCCAGTACTATTATTATTTATTATTATTATTATTAAACAACTTCACAGCACATACAAAATATACAAGAATAAACATTAACCGATAAGAAA